GCATGTTCATTCATCCAAATCCCTGCACTTTCTTTCAGGAGTCTTGGAAAAGAGTAGTAAAACTGGGCTGGCCTAAACTGGCCTGTCTCCTCCCCATCTATGGCCAGGCAAGCCCCTCAGGTTCCAACATGAAACGAAGACATGTTAGTCCCCACACTGAAGAACTGAAGTAGATAAGAATTTTTAAATATTAGAGAGGGGGTGGGGATGTGCCCAGCTGGTACAGCGCTTGCCTGGTAGGCTCAAAGCCTTTGGTGCTACCCCCTGCACCATGTAAACCCAGGGGCAGGAGCACCTGCACATTTGAACAATTAGGAGTTGGAAGCTGGATGATCAGGAGTTCAAGGTCAAGCCCTTTTGAACCTACAGTTCCAGTAATTGCCACTTCAGATGTCCCTCAAGTTGCTCAGTGGCTGGCTAGGCAGCCAACTTTCTCCACGCTGGGTCACACTGTGCTGCAGCAATACCCACTCAAGTGTGCAGTGACTCATCCACTCATCCTGACAGTCAGGGGACAGAAAGCCGCTTCACTGCTCAGCAGCTTCTCTGTGCACTCTTTCTCCTGAGAAATCTTGATCCGCACTAGCAGCTGAGGTACTCCTGGCTGGAACCACTGCCAAGAGACCAGGAGAGCGACAGTGCCAAGGAGGCAGCTGAAGGATCGTCACCCTGGGAGCCACAGCGCGGCTTTATTTTTCCAATGGGCCGTAAAGACTAGGGGAGGCAGGGGGAGGAGGCCTGCCAGACTATCTACAGTTCCCAAATGCTATGGCCGTGCCAGGAACACCTGGGGAAGCCATTCCTTACAGACTCCAGGCCAGACCCTGGGCGCTGATGGCCTGCTTGCTGGCTCTGTGACCTTGGGAAGATACTGGAGATCTGTGCCTCAATTTCCCCCATTTTAAAACTGTGAGTAGTAATGGCAGCTGCTTCGTGCGGACATGGAACAGGACAAGTTACAAAACATTTGGCAAGCTGGGAATGGTGAGGCACACCTGTAATTCCAGCACTTGGGAGGTGGAGGCATGAGGATCAGGAATTCAAGGCGAACCTCAGTTATACTGTGAACTTGGGGCTAGTCTGTGCTACATGAGACTCCCTCTCAAAAGGAGAAGTTGTCAGGGCTTGTGGTCCACAGTAAGCCCTACATAAATGTCACCGTGTAAAATTAAGCAAGCTATATAGGCTTACAAACTTCTTTGTATAATCTCCCCAGCCTTGGCTCTCTTTTACGTTTGTTGTAAGGAATGAAATCATATAAACAAAAATAACAGCATGTTCAAGCTTGCTGGGTGTCATCCAGATCACGTTGGAAACCCGACTGAGCAGGTGCCAAGGGATGCTAGGGTGGTTACTCGTTGACATTGGGTTATATGTCCTGCTATGTCCTCCTCCTGGTTCCACATCAGCAGCTCTCTGGCTCATTGGAGTCTTCCACTGATAAAATCCAGCCATCTTCACAAAAATGGGCAGCTTGACAAGTGTTAGGGTAAAGCCCTGGACAGACAAATTGATCCTTCCATCTCTCCTCTGAGGCAGGAGTAGCCACTATACAGTGAAGGAGGAGCACAGTGCAGCCCACCTGCTCTGGGAGGGAAGGGAGAGGCTGAGAAGGCCAGAATGGGGCTGTGGTCAGTTATTTCTTAGCTTTAAAATGTTGAGATGGCTTAGCTGGTAAAGGTACTCACTGCCAAGTCTGATAGCCTAAATTTGATTCCTGAAACCCATACAGCAAGTAGAAGATGAGAAATTACTCCTGCAAGTTGTCCTCAGACCTCCAGACATGTGAGCATGTGTGCACACACAAGGACATATTCAAAAAATAAATGCATGTAAAGAGAAATTAAAATGGGCTGTATTATACTCGCTTGGGAGGTGAAAAGCAGGTTGGCAATATGGCTCAGTTGGTAGGATAGCATGCAAGAAACCCTGGGTTCCATTCCCAGTGCAACATAAATCATGTGTCTTGGTGCACACTTGTAATCCCAGCACTTGGTAGAGACAGGAGGATCTAAAACTCAAGGTTATTCTCAGTTACATTGTCAGAATTCCAGGTCAGCCTGGGCTACATGAAACCCTGCCTTAAAAAAGAGATGAAAAGCAATCAGATACCTAAATACCTTGGTGTACAGCTGGTCTAATAATTAGCAGCTATTATATAGATAGCGTTTTGTCCTCTCAATACCCACCTTCATGAAGAGGTAATGCTGATTTCCAGAGTAGGAAAGGGGTGATAACAGTTTATTTCCAGAGAGCATGCAGTAAATCCCTCATCCACTTATTCAACAAATGCAACCTGGTATTGTCTGGACCTTTGTAAGTATCTAACTGTTCCCACTGGTATGTCAGGGTTGATGTAGGTAGGGCAGAGTCTGGTGCTGGCAGACAGAGTGGACTGAAGGAGATGAGATGGGGACATGGGGCAGGAGACCTGGACTCGGAAGCAGCCACACCTTCAAGTACTTGACTTTCCCTTGGCCTGGGAGCCTCCATAGACCTTCCTTTGCCCGTAGCATGGTGGAGATAGAGGATTATTACATGGGACCATCCTCAGGGAAGTGTCCTCTGTTTATGCTGACTCTGAAGCTGCAGGACGGGGGTCTGAGGACAGCAAGGGGCCAAAGATAGAGTCAACGGCCCCCGCAGCAGTTTAACCCATGTGAGTCAGGCCGGACCTCATTCTAGATGGTTCAGACTGCCTAGAGACAAAAAGAGAGAATCATAATATCTGGACATGGGAATGACCCAAATGCCCACGGACTGATGAACACATACCCGGAATACCGTGTGTCTAGTGTGGAAACAACTCAGTCGTGAGAAGGAAACAAGGATGGATGTGTGCTTTGACACAAAAACACATATGAACCAAGGGAAAGGAGCTGATCACAGAAGGCCGCACACTACAGGAAGCCATTCCTGTGGCAGTGCTGAGTAGGAAAAGGCATTGAGGTGGAAAGCAGCTTGTTGACTGCCCAGGCTGTAAGGGATATAGGGGATAAGGAAGTGGTTACCAATGGGCAGGAGTCTCTCTCTCAGGGGGCGAGAATATTCTTAAATTGATTGTGCTGACCGTTGCACATGTCCATGAAAATATGAAAGCCATGACCTGTCCATTCCAAATGGGGTTGTGCTCTGTGTGAGTTACACCTTAGGAAAGTTGTTTTGAAAAAGATCGTCAGGGGGAGAGGGGCCTCTGAGATGAAGCAGAAGGACTGAGGTCAGAAACAAAGGCCAGGCAGTGCTATCCTGGCTGCCCCCCAACTCCCAGACTGCATCTCCCACAGCTAATGCTGCGGTAGTCCCCAAGCCATGCCTGGGGAAGATAAATTGACCCCTCAAGGTCTGGGGCTGGGTCCCTTCTCCCCTGACAGCTCCCTTTCTGTGTTTTTTCTGGCATAAGAAACATACTGTCTTCTTGTATAAATAGGGGGATTTATGACAATTTCCCTTTCTCCTTCCTGGTGGGCTAAGAGGTGGGGCCTAGGGGAAGAGGAGCCCTGGGTTCCAGATAGAAATGTACAGAGACTAGAGAGGGGCTGAGGGACCCCTTTGCCTGCTTTGGCTCTGGCCCCAGCCTGCCTTCCCTAGCGTTTGAGCATCTGGTGACAAGGTGGGTGGAGGAAAGGTGCACACCACCCCTTCTCAGAGCGGATAGCCAACAGAAGGAGCTTGGGAGTCCAAATGTAGACGGACTGCCCAAGCTCTAGCCAAGGGAACACAGACACCACCCCACTTCAGTCTAGATGATCCAGGCTGTCTAAAAGAGAATCGTAGCTATCGGAGGCTTGGACAAGTTGCCACTTGTTTGTTTTTTGTTTTGTTGCTGTTGTTTCCTCTTGTTGAGATAGGTGGTTGACTTGCGCAGCTGAGGCTGGCTTTCAAATCCTGCTGCCTCCACCTCCTCAGTGTTTGCCTTACAAGTCTGTGCCAGCATGCCTGGCCCCTTTTCTTTACTAAAGCCTTACACAGCACCCCAACATGTAAAGTGAATGTCCCCTGAGATTCTCCAGGGAAATACTGGGATTCCTGAGCCCATGTGGTTAACTGTCAGGGGATAACCTAGTACAGGTTGCTCTCTAAGGTCTCCTCCAGTTCTGACCTGAGGAGTGGATTTGGCCCAAGGTGAGCCTGACATGATGGTGCACATCTATATGCCCAACACTTGAGAATTTGAGTCAGGATGATTATGAATTCAAGATTAGCCCCAGACTACGTATCAATATCCCTCAAAGATTACCAGGCATGAGGGTTCACAACTCTAATTTCAGCATTTGGGAGGCTAAAGCAGAGAGAATTAATGTAAATGCAAGGTCAGCCTGGGCTACACAGTGAGTTGCAGGCCAGTCCGTGTTACACAGTGAAGACTCTGTCTCAAAACACCAAAAACAAAGCAAAACCAAAACTGAAAATGGAAGTCAGCTCTGCTACCTACAGTGTATTCATTGGCATATCACGTACTTTCTTTAAGCCTGATTTGTAAGTTGGAAAGTACAACACTTTCTCAGAGGGTTGTCAGGACAGCTGTACAGACTTAGACCACTTAGCCTAGTCTATGGCTCAACCAATGTTATCATTATCATGGTCCCACCTGGGGTGTGATCCTTAACATGGGTTTAAGTCAGCAGATGTGCTGTGAGAAGGTGTATAGGAAGGCTGATCAAGAAAGGTTACAAGCCAGGCAGTGGTGGCGCACACCTTTAATCCCAGCGCTTGAGAGGCAGAGGCAGGAGGATCTCTGTGAGTTCAAGGCCAGCCTGGTCTACAGAGTGAGTTCCAGGACAGGCTCCAAAACTACACAGAGAAACCCTGTCTTGAAAATACAAAAAACAAAAAAACAAAAAGAAAGAAAGAAAGGAAGGAAGGAAGGAAGGAAGGAAGGAAGGAAGGAAGGAAGAAAGAAAGAAAGAAAGAAAGAAAGAAAGAAAGAAAGAAAGAAAGAAAGAAAGAAAGAAAGAAAGAAAGAAAGGAGAAAGGTTACAATAAAAAGGCCTCAAGCAGCAGCCTGGGAAACAGTTTATTCGTCATGGAAATGACAGCAGAAACAGCAGTCAGAGTGCAGTCAGCTCTCCTCCATCTGTCACGTGGGGACTCGGGTTCTTCTCAACACTGTTGCTTTGCTCTCCATTAGGGACCACTCACTTCCTCTTCAGCTTCCAGCCAGGCCGCATCTCACTATCTATCCAGGACACGAGAAATGGGGCACAAAGAACTTACCGTGCCCTGGTGCCCTCGTGCTTGGGTGACCTTGTTTGGGCTCTTGCTCCCACTGGCCACACCTGGCAAGGGTGCTGGGAAGTGGAGTGTTGGGATAGAAGGCTCTCTGCTGTCCTACAAGGAGAGAATGGGCTTCTGTGGCAACTGGCATTCTTCACTGAGGACTCAGACCCTCAGTGGTCATCCCTGGAGAAAAGACACAAACAAAAACCATTGCATGGAAAATGGTGTAGCACAGCTGGGCCCCTGCGATTCACCCATGCTCAGCAGTCCCAGGAGAGTGACTCAGCAGCTCCCTCCATGCAGAATTCCTTCCTCCTTCTTCATGTAAATATGAGAATAGTTCTTGTCTCTACAACCTGATCATCACTCCTTCTTGTGGTCTTACTCGCTACTAACCACTTTTCCGCAGTGTAACTATAAAAGTAAGGCCATTGGACAGCCTGAATCTGGAATGGAAGGAGTGACAGAGATGTCGTGGCAAGAAGGGAGGAACAGGGGCAGGGAGCCAGGTTCTCATCTGGCAGCCAAAGCATGAGTTCTGTGCCACTCTGATCCTGTGACCTAAAGTGGACTCTCAGAAACAGGAGTCTTCAGAAGCCCTAAAACCCACTTGTCAAGATTATTGTGAGCAGCCAGGTGGTGGTGGTGGTGGTGCACGCCTTTAATCTCAGGAGGCAGAGGCAGGCAGATCTGTGAAGCCAGCCTGGTCTACAGAGCAAGTTCCAGGACAGCCAGGGTTAGACAGAGAAAAAAAAAAAAAGAAAAAAAAATTTTAAAGATTATTGTGAGCAATGAATGAGGTCTCTTACGTACCTGGCACACAGTATGCCCTCAATGAGTGATAATTACTTTTACTTGGTGCCATCAAGGCAAATCAGGTTCATATCCCAGCTCTTAGCCAGCCTTGGTGTGATTCTTTCTTCCTCCCTTTGCTCATCAATGGACAACTTCTTCCCTGTATTTGCTATCATCTGTCCCTTCCCATTCATTGGAATCCTGACCTAAGTTACCTCCTCTGGGAAATCTTCTCAGACAGAATATTATCACACACACACACACACACACACACACACACACACACACACACACACACACACACACGTGCACGCCAGCTGCTCTAGTATCCTGGCCCCATTCTGCCCCCGACTTCACATGTGTCCTGCCTTTCCCTTCAGATGATTTTTTTCGTCTCCTCCTTCAGAAGTGTACAGCATGGGAAGGCATTAAGATGTGTTTCTATAGACCAGACATGGCTCCTACCTACCCATAAGCCTAGCTCTTGAGAGGCAGAGTCAGGAGTCAGGAGAACCAGAAGTTCAAGGTCATCCTTAGCTACATAGCAAGTTTCAGGCCAGTATGGGCTTCATGAGACCCCATCTCAAAATAAAACCCCAAAGAAGTCCCATGGCTCTTCTCTAGTTTAACCATGTAACCATTTTGTGTGTGTGTGTGTATATATATATTCTACAATACAGAAAAAAGGATCAGAGCTCAACTTCCAACATGGATACTTTCTTACTTTGACTTTGTCAGGTCCCTTTCTCCTTGGATCTTGTTTGGCCTCCTGCTGAATGAGGTCTAGAACATACAGAGTACTTAGTAAGTGTTGGACTCTCTACCATATGCATCTCCCCAGCCCACTCCCTGGAGACTACTTTGTCACTATAGGGAGATATGGGGTCAAGAAAGCAAATTCTCCATCAATAGCATCCCAAGGGAAAAAAAAGAAGATGGACACTGGGTGGGGGTGGGGGGGCACCATCAACCCACGAGCCAGAAAAGAGACGGGAAGAACTGAACCCCCACAGCCTCCAGGGTTACTGGCTCTCTCCCCACGTCTCCAAGTGCTAAGGATGGTGTGTGGGTGATGTGCTCACAGTCCTGGCAAACCCCAGAACTCTCAGCTGTAAGGAACCTTCTTAACTTGCCCATTCGCAACTTGCTCACCCAAAAGGCAACGTTGTCCATAGCAGCTAACTATCATGCAGCATGAGACTTGAATTGTTCTGGACGCTTTGCACTGAAATTCCCTTCTTTCTTCCTTGCCTGAGCCCAGGTGCTATTAACTCTACTACTGATGGAAAACAGAACCATGAAGAGCTTAGATAATGGCCTGAATAGCATACAACTAATTCAAGGCAGGACTGAGAATCCAATCCAGCAGCTCTTAATTACTGTATCAGAAAGACAGCCAACATGTAGTAGTGGTGTCTATGTACCAAGCATGATGCAGAACACATCACGTGTTTCTTAAAATCCCAGACAACCTTAAGACAGGTCCTTCATTGTATAATCTTGCTTTACAGACCAAGAAACTGAAGTGATGGAAACATCTAAAGCCACAGGCTAGCAGCTGCAGGACCCCAGCTGCATCCCTAAACCCTGGGAGTGGGCTTTCAGCTGCATGGGCCTTCCTTTATAAACCTATCCCACCCATGGCTCACATCCCTTGTGTTTCCAAATTTCTATTGATCTCACTGCCACCTTCCCATTTTCCTAGCCCCCTTTCCTCCACCACATTATCTCCTAACCCTTTCTGTGTCTCTCTTTTGACCCCCACCCACCAGCACTCTCCCACAGCTTCTGCTTTACAGGATGATAAAGAAGGAGACACTCAGATCCCCCCCCCCACTGTGCCTGGTCTCACACCCCCAGGGAAGGCCCAGCAGTGGCCAAGCTAGACAGCCAGACATGAAATCCTGCCTGCTCCCCCGCCCTGCTTCCCATCACTCATCTGGGAATCCTGGGTGAGGAAGGGAGCTAAAGTGCACAGCGTTCATTTAATATTAACAAATTGAAATGAATTCTTTTAATGCCAATTAGCTTGGAGCGGCCCCTTATTAATAGTAATTTAGATTCATACTTGGAGAAGCGGGTGGGGGCTGGGCCACATGTGCCCAGAATGTCAATGTGACAATGGGGCTGGGACCAGAGGGGCGGAGCAGCTCTTCCTCTGCCCAGAGAGAGGAACAAGGGACAGATACAGTCACTCCAAGGCCATCCTCCCAGAGTGTGAGTTACTCTTGCAATTTTATTTTTGTACCTTCAATAATTCTGAATAGACTGGAACTCTAAATCACACATTCCAGTGTTTATCTTCTTAGAAACACTTTTAAAAAGGAAGAATTAGCCAGGAGTTGTGGTGCAAGCCTTTAATCCCAGCACCTGGAAGGTAGAGGCAGGTGGATCTCTGTGAATTCTAGGCCAGCCTGGTCTACAGAGTGAGATCCAGGCTAGACAGGCTACATAGTGAGACCCTGTCTCAAAAACATACAAATAAACAAAAGGAGTATCCCCACCACTGCAGAGCCTGGCTTGAGCAAAAGTAAAGTGAAAATAAAGATCATGTTTCTCTTCTGGAAATTCTCCCCTAGGAGATAAAAGGCCCAACAGCTTGAAATGAAATTTGCTTGTATTTTTCTAAAACTTAAGGGAAAAAGCAAGAATTAAAAATTCAACCAAAGAATTACCCAAAATAGACAAGTGGAAAGAACTTCAATCTAAAATGAAAAGTTGGAGGTCATTCTGACCTTCCTATCTCCATTAACTTGGGAAGCAGAAGGAGGTGTCCTCAGTGGGGCATTGCAGAAACAGGACAGTTGCCTCTTCCTCCCAGGCACCCCTCTTAGGGCTGAGGAGGGGCTATTTAAAAGCTGATAATTATGGAAGATGTGGCTTCTGAGATGGAGGCTGGAGTGGAAAGGGGCCTGGGAGAAAAGGAGAAATGTGTAGGATGGTGAAGCTTAGAAAATAAAAACAAAAATGGCTTAGTATACAAAAGAGTCAATATGAGGTCAGGTTTCTTAAACTGAAGTGAATACATAAAAATCAAGGCAAAAATAAAAGTGAAGAAAATATGTGAAATATTCCACATTGTTCTTCCCACAGGGGTGTTGGAACTGACCAAAGGAGAGCTTGTTCACACCCAATAGGGTTTCCCAAACAATAAAGTCATTTCCAAAACAAAAAGAGAGACCAATACAAAACTAAATGCTAGTCCACCTAGAGGGGGAAAAAAAGCCTGGAGATTTTGAGCAACATAAAAACTAGTAGGGGAAGAGAAAAACGAATAAATTTAAAATATGGGAAGCAATTATTTGTAAATGCTGACCTGGAGGATGGTTGGAGAAGAGAGGTGAACTTGATATCGCTGAAGAATTAGTATACAAAAATGTAACTCATCCCCAGGGAAAAGTAAACTCTCCCGGAGTGGAGTTCCCTAGAGAACAGAGGAAAGACTTCTGAAAGAATATAGCATCAACACCGTCCCCCGCACGGAAAATACACAGGTCTTAATATCCTGCCCACCTCAGGATTACGATAAAGAAAACAAGAGGATTGTTTTTCTTTCAACTATAAGAAAAACAAAATTGGATTTCAGTTGTCTGACGGGGCAAGAAGGGAGGCTAGTCTGCAGGTGCCTGAAGAGGTGGATTGAGGGGTAGATAGAGACCAGCTTACCTGGCTGCGCTGTAGGTCAGGAATGGTCCAAGAACCCTGCTCGAGATTGCTTGGTAGGAAAAAGAGGGCCAGGGGGGCCGAATGCCCCTAGACAAACAGGCTTGGCTGAAAAACTGGGGGTGCTCTTTCCCCCTCCACCAGTCTCCCTCCCACCGGTACCTAGGCCTAGAGAGCTACTGAAAGTTACAAATTGCTTCCATTATTAGCTCATCCCGGGCGGCCTGGTCATTGGCTAGCCCGAGAGCACGTGGTGTCTTGTACCAATAGATCGAATTTCTAGTTGCAATTCTCGGTCTGTCCCTCGGCTCTGGGGAAGGGGGGGGGGGGGTAGTAGCGCAGGGGCGGGGTGGGGCCAAGGGGACCCTCATCCTCCCTCTCCGACAAGTGGGGGTCCTGAGCGCTGCCCCAGAAGGGGTCGAGAGAACCAATGTGGGCTGGAACACACACACCCGCGGGGTCAGAAACTGGACGACACGACGGACGTCGCCAGCATCCAGGGCTCTGTCTCTCCTCTCAGCAGCCCCATGTTCACCACCCCTGCGTTAGCACCCTGTGGGCCCAGGGCCATCCCCGGGCTAACGCCAGGGCTCTCTCGGATGCTCTGCGAATCGCTGCTGCGTCCTTACTTTACTTTGGGGTCCCGCTTCCGCCGGCCGCTTACTAGCGCTCAGGCGCTCTTGGGCATCTCAAACCTGCCCCGGGGTCAAATGTGCGCCTCTCCTGGAAATCATCTGCGAAGGGGACAAACTTTTGAGTGGACGAAAATCTAAAGGAGCCTGTCGGGAGCAGGTGAGCGGGGACGGGAGCGCGAAGCTTCAGTCTGGAAATCTGCGGCTCCGGTTCTCTCTCCTCTTTCTCCATCACGCTTTCTTCGCTGGCTGGCGAACTCTGACCTGCCCGCCTTTAGCCCTCCAAGGGATCTGGGCTGGGGGTGGGCAGCCATCAGTCTTGGGCTTAGGGCATCTTTTCCCTCCTGAGTTTGGGCACTAGGGTGGCAGGTGGCGGGATGGGATGAGGTGGAGTAGGGTGGGAGGGGGTAGGGAGGCTTCTGCAACTGGGGAAGAAAGGAGAGGGGCAGAGAGACCCAGTGTTCCCAGGGCATTCTTTCCCCCAAATGCAACTTGCAGGAACTTCGAAAAAGTTTTTTTCCAAGGGCTTGAGGGAGGAAGCAGAGTTGGGGTTTGAGATTGTAGTTGAGGTGAGTCCTCCTTTCCTCCAGAAAGTAGGAGGTGTCGCTGGCTCCAGGGTCTGGACTAAGTACAACCAAAGAACCAAGTAGTCCCAAACCTGCTCACCCCAATAAGCCCTTAGGGACTCTTGGAGATCGCCAAGAACAGGTCCACAGGAAGGGAGAGGAGCCTGAAGTGTTGGAAAGTAGCAGTTTCCGGTTGTGCTGGGATGCTGGCAGGGTAAGGCCCAGCCTGGGATCTTCCGCTGATTTTAATTTAGGAGAAGTGCAAGACGGAATACTCCCAGTACCTTTACTACTGTTTCTAATCTAGTTTGACTCAGAGACCCATCTCTCTAAAATGGTCTCAAGGGTGCGTGAAGCTTTTCCCACCCCCACAACTCTCCCACCTTCTCCAGCGCCCCGGGGAGGCCAAAGAAAGAGCCCCCCCCCCGCTGTTCTGGGGGCTGATTGCCCTCCTCGAGAGATGTCAAAGAGAATTAAAAGCAGACGTTGGGTTCAGGGAGCGATGTTGGAGCCAGACTAGGGGAGAGGGCGGGGCGCAGGAGTGGACTGCGGCTGGTTTAGTGAGTAGTGGGACATGCAGGCCCCAGCAGGTGCAGTGGATGGCCGCCTGACTGGTGCCCAAGAGATAACTGATAGAGAGGTTCTCCACTTGAGGCCAGGCCCCTCTGGGAACCCGAAGCTGGAAGAACCAGGCTGAAGGCAAAAGTAAAAAATAAAAATTGCATTTGGACCGGTTTTTTGAAAGGGCGGTGGGTCCCACTTGGAGCGTGTGATGTTTCAGGCTGCTAGGCCCCATTTAGCCTGGAGCATATGTGGGGGAGGGGGGACTTTGTTTTCAATGCTCTAGAGAATTTCTGCCAAGCACCAGCAGCTGCCCAGAGTCCGGGAACTGGGTTCTCCCAGATGACTCAGTTAGAACAGCCGCACTGCCTAGAATAAGTTTGTTACGGGTCGCCAAATCTGGACCTTTGATAGGAACCCTAAAGAGGCAGGCACCAGGCCGGTGGTACTCAAACAGAAGCGCGCTGTGTCGCGCATGCCTGTAAGCCTAGCACTCTGGGGAAAAACCAAAACCAAAACCAAAGCTTTTCAGAGAGAAGCACAGGGTCATAGGCTTCTCCCTCCCCCTTCAATTAATCTGCTCCCTTTTGCTTCTGCCTCCTCAACATCCCTCCCATCTGTGGCCTCGTCTATCCTTTTCTTTTTACATTCCCCTCATCCTCTTTCTTCTTAGAACTGGTGGAGTGACAACTGTTTGGGACAGCTTTTCTAAGCCTGTAGTGGGGACTGGTGGACCCCACCCACCCTGACATGTTAAGTAGAGGGACACTAGAAATAGGGTCCCAAACTGAGGGAAGCTGAGAAACAACAGTGCAAGGGATGGCTGGGTGGATGCCGGCCAGACCTTCCTCTGGGGAAGGGTTGGTTTATGCCATCTGCACACTGCAGAGAGAAGACTTAGAAACAAAGGAAGATAGCAGGAAGTGCCAGGAAAATGCAGAACAACAAGGAGAAGAGACCGGGCAGGCGGGAAAGATGTGCCTGCATGCCTGTAAAAGCCCAAGTGCCCAGTCAGACCGAGGGACTCCGGGAAGCCAGGAAGGAGGGAAGTATAAAAACACTAATAGAGGGCAGAATGGAGAAGCTCTGGTTTGGGTTTGATTTGTTTTAAAATAAAGGGTAAAACAGGAGAGAGGGTGAGAAGAGAAAGAATTCATCCCCAGTGTACCTCACCCAGGTCAGGTGATGACGCTGTACAAATGAGGGGCAGGCCAAAGCCAGCCTGAGGACCACTGGCACTCTGTGTTGACCCTGCTGCCAAAGCAGGTCTGGAAACCAGGCCACTCTTCTCTGGGCTCTGGATGCTTAATCTCTGTGACCCCATAGTTTGATCATCTGTCAAACGAGCCCTTTACATTACAGGATTACTCAGCAACTTTGGCTTCCTAAATAGGTACAGGAGAAAAGGGAGAAGATGAGGCCTGTTCTACCAGGTGGGAGAGAGGATCTTTGTTTTCTTCATTAGTAAGAAGAAAAACCTTGCTTTTGTTGATGTTTCTCTGAGACAAGGTCTCACTCTAAAGCCTAGGCTGGCCTACGTAGATCAGGTCTTGAACTCACGGCAGTCCTCCTGCCTCAGCCTTTTGAGTGCTGAGATTACAGGCATAAGCCACCACACAATGCTTGAAGAAAAAAAATTCTATCATTAGCAAAAGGATATCCTTTGCTGCCCCCTCTCCATCAGTTACACCCAAAAAACTACAAGGTTTAGGGATTCCCTCATGCTAGGACAGGTGAGATTCATTTGAGAAGAGTTTGGTATGAGGTTTGTAAACCCTGGAAGAATCAAAGAAGGAATTCTGTGTGAGGAAGAGAATAGGAACAGTCTCTGTGACAAGCAAGTCTCAAGTGCATAGGGTAATTTACAGAACCCATACAAGAGGTGACCTATCAAAATGACGTTAGACTCTGCCTGCAGAGGGATCCGCTTGGTATATTTGAGTATACATTGCCTGTTGGGCCTGTACTACATCTCCTATGCCCTGTCCACAGGGTGCTGGTGGAAACTTCCCAGTTAGATTCAGGTTTTTGTTTTGTTTTGGTACTGAGCACCAAACCCAGTACCTCATGTATGCTGGCAAGTGCTGTCCCACTGAGCTATACCTTTACCCATGCCATGACTCAGGTTTCTTTGTGTGTGTATAACATGTGTATATGTATATGATTCAGGTTCGTTTGTGTATTTGTGTGTGTGTGTGTGTGTGAGTAGAACACTTACCTAGTATTTGTGAGGTCCTGTGGGTTTGACCTTTAGCAATAAATAAATAATTCCCCTTTGTTTCCCCAAAGTGGGATGGGATAGGTCATTGGGTCAGACCTTCAAAGAGCAATGTAACCCTTGAGCATGGGCTGAGAACCCCCAATCCAACAGCTAGAGAGGCATGTAGGCACTGTTCAGTACAACCTTCACAGCACCCCCTTCAAGGAGACCTCTGTCCAACACTTCCTAGCACAGTGTTCCTCTTTTCTTTGCTCTCATCCTCCCCTCCCTCTCCTCTCCTCTCTCTCTCTTCCCCCTCTCTCCCCCTCTCTCCCTCCCTCTCTGTCTTCCTCTTCCTCTCCCCCCCCCCCCCCCCCCCCCCCCCCCGCTCTTTTGTTTCTTTCTGGTGCTCTTCCCCCTTTTGTCTAGGCGGAACCAGGACTCTTGCTCTTTGTATCCCAGCAGCCTTTGCTCTGAGACCCCGAGGCTGGCTGACACACACTCTGCCTCTGGAGTTGGTAATGAGGATGCAAATACAGGGACTCGGAGAAGAGGCCCTCAATGAGAAGCTGAGCTTCAGTAACCTGGGGAAGGGTACCAGTTTGCTTTCTGTATCAGTTGTGACTTTGACCTTCACATCCCTTTGACTCACTGTAGACAGCTCTTCATTTCCACCTCATCCCTGTTCCTGGAACACAGGTGCTGGTGTCTCCAAAGCGACTGCTCTCAGGGGGTGAAGGTCAGTGACATATTACAACCTCAAAATCTCTAAAGCACAAAGCACGTTTCCCTATTCTTGGTGCATTTAGGGGTCTTATTTCCCTTAGGTAAAGAGGCTGTCAGATTCTGGCTCCTGAAAACCAGAACATGGATTGCCCTCATTAGCCAGCACCCGAACCCCTACCAGAATCCACATCTGCTGAGTAAAGAAAGGTGGCCCAATCCAAGTGACTGTGGAAAGGATGTGGACTATCTATCCATACCCATTTCTTTACTCCCTCCTGGTCCTACAAAAAAGGAGAGAACCCAATGAATTTCAAAGGAGCTGGGATCTCAGCAGACGGAGCCAAAGCTCGGTGGCAAAAATCAGTTCCTCCTTTGTACTCCTTGCTGTTCTCAGTTTTGTACAGTTTGTCTTTGCCCTCCCTGGGTTTGGAGAA